AATTCCTGGAAGCTTGGTATTCAGACAAGTCAGCCATCAACAGGCACATAGAGATAAACAATATTTACACACTATTCAAAGAGACAACAAAAAGGAAACAAAAAGACCAGAACACCTCCTCACCAGCAATCAACACCCAGAGAAGCAGGGATTAACACCAGGATTTGTGCTTTGTTGGCTGTCATGATGCTGTAAAGAACCTTCATTGTGACAACTGATGACAAATTTCAAGCCTTGAAACTTTCAACTCTATCATCAGCATGAGAGGAATCCATCTTGCACAAACCTTCCAATACTGAGGAACATCAATAATATGATACATCTGTTTCGGTGAAATACCAGGCTTGATAGTTTGACTGACTTTGAGTGACCTTTGAGTGACTTGCCGATTCTCCTTAATCAGTTCAACAACTTTTTCATGCATAACACGTTGGTTGCTATTACGGATCATTCACTTCATTCTTGATTACATAACTCAGCTCATCTCAGTTCATCATCTTTAATTTTTTTGGTCCAGTGATGGACACTGATGAATACTCACTGCAGGCTTCCATTTCACAAACAATAACAATACAATTTTTTCCCACAGCATTTTCACCAACTGAAGTGAAATAGCAGATGCTAAATAATCTGTCCCAAATTGGGACTTTCAGTGCATCAGTACTGCCATTTGTTGGTGAATTGTAAGAGTGGAGACATTTTCATTTAACCCTTGTAAATCGGTGCCACTCTGTGCATACTTAGTAAAACTACATTAAACTGTTAGAAAATCTTCTTTGGCTCTGCCAGTCCTCTCTCTCTTCCTGCCCCTTTGGTTTATTTCTCCATTATGACTAATTGCCAAAAATGTTGAATCTATGTTCACATTGCAAGATTATTCCCTATTTTTCAAACATAGGTTGTACGTTGTCTAGCAGCCACTCCCCAAACTATTATCAATTCTTTATGAAGATGCAAAATATCAAGCACAAGAAAGTCGCCAAATGTTCCAAAACTCAAAGTACAAGAAAACCAGATTGAATCTGGAAAGAATCAAGAAGCAGCTAGATTTACAAAAATAGCAATTGTGGGTATAATTTGTGTTGTGGAAAGCAAAGAGCCCAAGTAAGAAGAAACAGGTGATAGAAGGTAGAGGCATCATAACACCTGAGTAAGCAGTCATATTTGACAGTTTTGAGACTGCAGAGATGGAGAGATGAAAAAGATGAGGTTTAGACTGAGGAGATTATTATGACCAACCTAGGTACTTCCAAAATTAGATTAACTGTGATATAATAGAAATACCAACCAATACGGGCCCCCTATGATAATTGTAATATAGCGGAAAGACCAAAAATAACAGGATCAGCATAAATAGTGCTTGATGACCACAGGCAGTGGTCGCAATGCTGATTAGGGGACTGACTACAAATCTTGCCCTCAGCTGTAGAACTGCTAATTCATCTGTCACATAATGCCCCCAAATAACTTGTAAAAAGCACAATGTCTCAAAATCATCAAAACAAATAAAAATAAATTAAAAAATAGATTTTTGGAAATTACATTTTTGCTTATCCACTTCCCTACATTTTTCATGCATTAAAATATTTATTTTTTCTTTTAATTTTTATTAAGAATTTTAATTACAATACTAAAAACTAATACAAACTGAATTTAGAGAAAGAGAAGAGAATGGAAAGAAAGAATAAAAAGTACAGGAAAAAAGAAAAAGAAAGAAGAAAAAGAAAAGAAAGAATATAATAAAGAAAAGAAAGAAAATACATAAAGAAGTGACTTCCAACCTTCATCACAACTATAAACCAATTTAATAACTCTTCACCCCCTATAAGGTTAAACAGATATCTCTTCATCCCATATCCCATCATTTTTCATGCATTAGAATATTTCAAATGACACTGTCAGGACTTTAGGATAGGTTTTTTTGAAAACAGTCTATTATATCAGAATTATGCAAATAAATAAATAATAAACATTTCTTAGATTTTCACTGGGATTTGAGTTGAAATAAAAACAAAGTATTATCTGCTTTTGAATTTCATCATAAGAAAATAAACTACTTTATTTTCTTT